TCTTAATTCTTATGCCTCTCTATATAAAAATTAAATTGTTTTTCGAATTAGACCTTATGAGTGGTGCAAATTATTCAAATTCAGTACTAACACCTGCATTGTCTTTTGTTTGACCCTACTGTATAGCTGCATACGTCAAAATTTTCTCTTATACTCCTATGAGGTACAAAATTAGCGAACTTTTTGGGATTGATTTTCTTTTATGACGATTTAAGACTCAAGTATGTCATGGAATGTTGTTGGGCTGCAAAATTCTATCGTAGTAGAACAACATACCGTTATATTATTCCTTTATGAATAATTATAAATATTACTTATGCGTACAGTTTAAAATAGATATTATAGGTTATATAAAAAAAATTATTCATAAAATATAAACATTTTTGTCTATGTAAAAAAAAACCGTTTTTAATTAGGCAAAATAGGCAATATTTAATTAATAAATAACTGTGTAGAAACTGATACTGAATTGTAACAGTTATACGAAGAATAGCAACAGTGTAAAAATTATCCATCATACCTACCATACGGTCTGCGAGATAACTATATATTTTAACGTAAATTACAGTTAGGAGACATCGAGAAGAATGAAGATCCGTAATCAAAAGAATATTATGGACTTTAACCTTTCTTGAGATGAGATCAAAACCAAAACGAGTTTTATTTTATAGAGTTTATCAACCCCAATAAGGTAGAAGATCTCACAGTATAAATTAATTAGTATAAAAATAATTTTTGTAGCTCAAAGTGCCATAGGTAAAAAGTATAATTGTTTTGTTTATATTAAAGGGATGAATTATAAGACATTTCTTAGCATTTCAAATTGTTTTTCTCTTGTCTGGAATCATTAGCGTTATAAAAAAAGTTTTAGGTACAACAAAATCTGACACAAAAATGATGTCCCAAAAAGTTTTATACAAATGAAAAAAAATTATCTCACATTTCGCAAAAAAAAAGTGTAAAGTTCTACATCACTTCGAAAACCATAATCAAGCATCAAATTTGATAAAAATTCAAAAATGTATAATACACACTTATTGTTGATTGGAATATTTACTGAAATCATGATGTTAAATTTTAAGTAAATAAAAAACTTCTTGCAACTTCCAATTAAAATTAGGTTTAAATAAATGAGCGTGGAAAATAATTTTTCTTATTGATAAAATCCCTACACACGTACTATTTGTTACCATTTATTGTATATAGAATACGTGGGTTATAATTAATTGTTTGACTATCTAGAAATCTGATGTGTTTAAATTTTAAGTTATGATAAGCAATTAAAAATTTTAAATAACCGAAAAGTAAATTAATCGAGAGAGCTTGAGAGAAGACGAGACGAGAATCTCTCGTCTCGCGGCATCACTATTCGCTCCGTGCGTGACAGCAGCGCCAATTCATTTATGTACTAATGGACTATTTTTGCGTATACTGACAATCCAATTTTTAATAGAATTCGTAATTAAAAAGTATATATGTTAGTTTTAATAAAAGTATATGGATTTGTAAAACAAGTAAAACATTTATTTATTATTATTATATATTTTTATGGCTTAAACAAAAAAAAATTAAATATAATCTATAAAAATTAATAATAAAATATAAACAGGCAACAGTATTTACGGAAAAATGTATGAGAAGTTGCCTAAGTCTAATAAGTTATTTTTGAAGAATTAAGCTATTTTGTCAAAATAAAAAATAGCTTTTAATAGTGAAGTTAAAATGTATAAACAGAAGGATTGTTATTTATATTTTCATTTTTGTTCAAAAGAAAACATAGAATGAATGATAAAAACTGATTTCCTATCAGTTAGTTGCAATTTAATATTTTTGGCGCAGTTGCCTCCCCTTGTCCCTCCTTGGATACGCTCTTGATAATAATTAACATTATAAATTAATTGTATTCTTCACTGAAGTAGTTTTCAATTTTCATCGCCTGAATTTTCTGCCAAATCAATGACACTAATACTAATTTCATCTTCATTATATTACAAGCTTCGCCTAGTCCTTTGAATTAATTTTTCCTCATGATTCATGGAGTTGGTAGTCTTGTTTACAGATTCCCCAGACTTTTTTTTTATTTATTACTTTAAAAATAATGTTTAATTTTTCCCGAAAGAATTAAGTAACATTTTAGGACCTAACCGTCTTATTTTTATTCAGTTGCTTTATATTCTTATTGGAACGCCCTGTATATGAGAGATAAGACTGAAAACAATAATAAACATAATAATAATTCCCCACTTTAGGTTTCCTTATATCACAATAAAATTATTTAATTTAAATTTAATTTGTTATAACTATAACTGACCTTTTATTTCAAGCTAACTGAATATAAAGATGTTCTTGAATTGTTATACAGACAATACGACTTTCTCTGTAACATTTTATTATTAATTTTTATAATGCTATTGTTATGACATAAAAATGAGATTTAGGATAATAGAACTAACTACATTAATTTGAGATGGTTGACTTCAGAAATACAAAAAGTAAATATTTAGGTGCACGACACTTTTAATTGAACACTATGTGTTAATATGAATTGTATTGCTTCATGCTTTCTAAATAGTATTTACCTAGGTACATAGAATCTTAGTAATATATTTTTACATCATAGGTAGTAAACATTCTACTTCTTAAATTACAAAAATTGATAATAAATAAATAAGGATTTACGTTTGAATTAGTTTTATTGTATGTGGGCTTCACACCGAACAATAAATAATAAAAATGTCAACTGTCATTGTACAGTATCACCTAAAAAATATTAAATATTAGGCATTTTATAGAGGTTCTAACAAATTATTGAAAAATTGACAGAATAAAATGTTTCTTGATTGCCCTTTGTTAGAGCTACTTCAGATAATTAAATAAAATGTATTTATACTATTTAACCCAGAAACCAAAGAATTTGTACCAAATTAAATTCGAAAATAACAAGAAAATGAAGTCTCGTAAAAATGGTGCCAACAAAATAACCAAAAAATGAAAAAAACATGCACCGTCCTCTTTTTTTTTTATTTAACACTACTTCTAGCTAACAACCATCACATTAAATTACAATAAGTATAAACAAACCGAAAAATACGCAAATGAGATTAAGTTAACGGTTAATATTGGTTTAAAATGAGAAATGAGCAAGGTGTACTTTTTAGTCTGTTGACCCAGTTCCGATTTGGGCTACAGTCAGTGGCGTGCAACGGTATTTTATTACAATTCCAATTCATAATCTTAACACTATATAATTTGTGGTATTAAAATTTCAGTATTATCTTTAGCATTTATGTACAATATTTTACAAACAGCGTATTTTTATGAGTTGAGTAAAACTTATTAAATGTTTCTAAAAAAACAAATTTAAAATATGTACTCATATGCTTTGGGTTAGTGCAGTTTTTCTTCGACTCACAATTTTTTTTTATTTAATGTTGAGCTCTAGTACTTGGTTGGTTAGTCTATTATGCTATGTCCAACCTTTTACGAGTAATAGTATAGTACCTTGTTCCTGGGCGCTAACTGCTATAAACTTAACATTAGCAATGGTGTTGTTTGCTAATATCGTTATCATTATTATAAAAAATTAGGGACGACGATTTGAATCCTGTGTTTCATCTTCATCTTCATTTCTCGTCCTGAATACTTATACTGCTTCATATATTATTAAAAAATAAATTTTATTTTTTTTATAATAATATATTCTTTTAATTAAGTCGATAATTAGATACGACCTGTAGTAAACCCTAAACTCCTTGATTCTTGACCTCTTTATTCTCGAAACTTGTGTAGGACTGTTTAGAAGCCCTACCAGAGCTGGATAGTTCAAATAGAGGGCACAATGACAATGAAGAGGCTGATTTACCAGCAGCAGAAGACCTTAAAGGCTCTTTTTGGTATAGAACCCATCTATGGTGTCACAAAGACAGGCATCAGAACGTGCAAAGAGCAGTGGATGTTAAACACATCTCAGGATTGGTGGAACAATTCATCAGAACAAACAGATCAAAGCCAAAACGCACTAAGCCATAAGAGGAGAAATACTAGAGTATTAGTAGGTCTAAAATACCTTATTCCGATTCTATATGGACACAGAGGAAAGTGGTACTACAAAGATCTATGAAACTAAGAGTGCTTACACTTGGAGAAGAAAAACCAATTAGCCACAACGGAGACCTATTTCAGTTTGTGCAGTTTACCAAAAAAATCAAACCAAATAAAGTACTCTAACCATTGCTCAAAGGCTATAAACAATAGATCTAAAAAAATCGAGGTGCTTAACATCAGACCTAACTAAATCTAATAAAAACCACTTCATTTTAGGAGGTACCTAAATATTTGGAACTTCATTATGTTCCCAAACCTAAAAATTTGATACTAAAATTATAACCTAAACGTTCTTTTTGATTTGAAATTTGCGTGTTGAAAATGAATCCTGGGTTATCGAAATCAGAATCAATTAGCATGGTGATGAATTTTATGCAAGTTAAGTTTTATGTATTATTTGGCAACGTTGTAACCATTTGTATTGGTTGCTTATGAGCGCCGAATAAGAAGGCAGTGACATCACATAAAGAACCTGCGGCGTTGACAAGTAGATTTTTCCTTCACTCCTTTTTTCCTAGCTTGAATAGAAGTGGGTCTAATATTTTATATAATTAATATAAAAATTACATTTTTTATTTATTTATTGAATGTAAATATCATTACTTACATCTTTTAGAAAATAATTTAATAGAAATTTGCTTTGTTTTCTTAGAAATATAATTAAAAATTCCGATGCATTTTTTTATTTTATTCAAATATTCTCAAGCGATTCTTTCATTTTTAACAATTGTTTTTATTTCAAAAAATGTACCCTACTCGGCCCAACCTGTGTCGTCGCTACTGTTTCAAAAGATGCGCGGTGTACAATCAGGTCGCAACGACTCAGGTATCACTTATCTGGTTGAAGGTCATCGGTATTTTAATTTTCTCAAAGTTCCGTTACATTGCGCATTAGCGGAAAAGAGAATAAACACAATTCGAGTGGACAAGATCATGTTCGAGGTCTTAATTTTTTATAGCATTCCAAGATATTCCGGTTTAAATTGACGTGGTAGGTATATTTAAAAGATACTTTCGAAAATAATAAAAAATATTCGCGAATTGCTCGTATATTTTGTATAAAAAAAAAACAAATATAACCGAAATTTTATTAAATACAGTTTTTGCTTATGATTTGGACTATACTTTCATTGAACATAATGAATTATAAAACTGACTTTGTTTTTAGAATATATTTTCCAAAAAATAACGTCATTTTGACAAGATAACAGGTCATTTTGACTATATACTATCTCGTCATTGTGAAGATATACTATCTCGTCATTTTGATTTTATTCTCGTCACTTTGATGAGGTGGCATCTCGTCATTTTAGCGTCAACTGTAACGTTAAATTAACGTCCTGAAAAAACGTCTCTAATCTGTGACATACTAACATCATATTTCTTGTGAATAACACGTCATATTAGTGATCATAAGAGATAACAGGTGCCCAAAAAATCACGTCATAATGACGCATGGTTGCTAGCTGGGAATAAGTGCTGTCAAAATCGTAACAGAATTAAATTACCTAATTATTTTTAATATAAAAATTAAATATGATTAAATGAAATGTTTTTTTTCTTCTTCAGAATGTACAGAGAAGCAGTAGGCTGGGTCTTCACAGCCCTCTTGGCATCCAGCTCTCTAGTCGGCACATTTTCTTACCCCAACGTCCATGTCAACTCCCCCTCGGTATCAGTAACCGTATCCCCCCAACCGTCGTCTTTAGAATCCCGTAATTTTTATCCCGTAAAAGGTCCTAGAGACATTCCTGACCAGAGGATCGAAAGAAAGTTTGCAGAAAAGCCGAATCATGTCAAGAAAGTGGCACTCGATCGGTTGGATGACATAGAAACGAATTCGATAGCTGAGAGTAGCGCCAGTGCCGGAGGAGGAGGGTTCTCGTGGTCAAATCTTTTAGGTAAGTATTCAGGATTTAACTGATGAGTACGAATACAACGTGCTGAAAAAGACGCTTGCGTGAAGCTGGCTCCTCAAAGCGTGGCAACCGTGACGATAGAGCATTTTTATATAATCAGGTCCGAATTTTGTGACCATTTCTAAAAAAAAAAACCTCAACTAATTTTTTTTATAATAAAATCTCAACTTATTTTTTGTATAATCGGGTCCATTTTTGTGACCATTTCTAAAAAAAAGGTCCTCCATCTATTTTTCGTACAAACGAGGGTCTTTTACCCGGTCTATTTTTGTATAAATCAAAAAGAAAGACCGCTGAGCAGCGCAACCGGTACATAAATAGTTATCTAATAAATTTCAGGTATGGTAATGCAAATGATCTTCAACCCTGGCGGTGGTAACCAAGGTCCAAGCAAATCCGAGGGCCTTGAAGATGGTCCAATCCAACCAACTTCCCCATGGGCAAATCTATTGTCTGTAGGTCTTAAAATTCTGACTGCCATTTTAGGAGGTGGTGGAAATACAGGAGGAGATGGAATTGACAAAGTCGATAACGGAAATTCACCAATGCAGGTAATTTAAACAGTACACTGTAGAAAATGGGGTATATTTCCAACTAGATACGTTTTACATAATAAATTATATCCCAGAATACGTAGGCATTTTCCCGAATTCAGGTAGAACATAATATAAATATAAAATGACACCAGATAATGCTGGTTTTACAACCAAATTATCTTTTAAATCTTTTAGAATGATAAATCAATGTGTTGTTTTTAAATTTCTTTTAAACAACATTCTAATAAATTAAAATCTAACATTTCTGCAAAGTTCCTATAATATTTTTCCTCCCTCCTCCTACAGAAAGACTGTCCCTTAACAGACGCTCCTGGAAATTGCTTAAAATCTCCATAAAATAGACCAATTTAAAAATATTTGGATTGGGATAAAGAAATTCAAAAATAAACTTTTTATTATTTGGTTTATTTAGTCCGCCAGCTTTAAAACAATAATGCAAATTTTTTATACCCTGTATGATCAAGGTACAACAATAATATTTTTATTTAATATGGTTTTTATTCAATAATGAACTCCTTTTAATCTTATGGGGAAAATGTGTTTTTAAGAAAAATAATGTACCCATTGCTTCAATAAATTTAAAAAAATATTTCGGTATATATTTGATCCGCCCTCGTATATATACAGGAAATTAAAATGCTGGGACATAGAGGTAGGTATAGCAGCGGCAGTGGCGCAGCCAGAATTTTGTATTACGGGGGGGGGGGGGGTTTAAAAAAATATATATTTTATCTAGTTTAACTTTTTCAATTTCAAAATCGTTTGGATTCGCGGCTGGATTTTGGGGGGGTTTAACCCCTAAAATTCCCACCTCGCTGCGCCACTGAGCAGAGACAGAAGTTGGAAAGGCTTTTGGTAGATAGAGAAGGGGTAAAAGTCAAACCACTTCGTACGATTTCAAGAATTTCGCAGTAATGTTTACCCTGCCAGTGTAGTTTCATAAAATTAGTAATTTTAAATTGTTTCCGACAGAACTGGATTATCACATGTATTTATGGACTAGAAATAATTATTAAACAAGTATTATAATATCCCAATCATAATTTAACAAAATTTCAATAGCTATTCACAATTTATTAAATTATTTAACCGAAATTGTTATTAATATCTATAAAAAAAATTTGTACGCCAATGTACTGCTGCAAGACTATCAATTTATGGAAAACTTCTGCCCCTGCTATATCACGTATTATAGATATCGAAATAAATCGATTGGACCCAATTTATATAGGATGTCCTGAAAAAATTTGCCATAAATTATATCACATATTCTGGGGTAAAAAAATATAGATAAATGGGTCCATTTAAATTATTTTGACATCTACAATACGTGGTAACTCTATGTCCCAACAATTTTGGGATATTTTGTATTATATGAATGTATAAAATCCATTTGAACTTAGGATATAATTATTGTACAACTTTGTATAAATGGAGACTGTCATTTAAAATTATTGCTGTTCTTAGTTAGGAAAGCAGGTACATTATAATGATTTATGTTCTTTAAGACTAATAGTCAATTGTAATTTAATCACCTACATAGTACCTAAACTTTATCTATATAATTTTTTTGATAGTTTGTACATTCTTTCTTGAAATAAAAAATGTGGGTTGTTAAAAACAAGTACTTTCGATATTTTATTTTTTTGCAATATTTTACTTAACGTATTTTAAACTGAAATGAATGAACATTGTAACTTGTAAATTAAAAGGACAAATTTTATTCTAAAAATTTATTTACATTACAACACGAACTGGATTTTTGACAACCCATACAAAACTTTTCTTTTTGGGTACCAATAAACTTGTAAAATAAATAAGCTTTGCTTTTAGTGATATGATTTAGTTTCTGTAAATATATATATAGTAATGAGTGAACGGCACTAGTAGTAGCTTATAATATTGCACAGGGTGTTCTGGAAGCCGTAGTCTCAGCTGCACTGGGAAACAGAGATCCTGAACAAGTTAACAAGATTGCTAGACAAGCTGGTGAGGTATGAAAAACTAATCATTTTTAAACCATATCTAACCAAGTCCAAGATTATTCCAGATTGATATTAAAATGACATAATTAAAAAATCATCAGATTTTAAAATATCTGGTTTAATCTTAGAATTAGCAAATCCTCCAATTCTAACTCCAATTTTCTTTTATTTATTATTATAAGAAAATGGTCCTGGTCAACTAAATTATTGATAATTATCAAAAATGCTTGGCACCACTAAGTAACAATGTACAATTTTAGTTCATCAACATCGTAGTTAATCTGTTGGACGCTTTGAAGACGTCTTTCTCCCACCGTTCCTTGAGAGCCAGGCACTTGGGAAGGAAGGATTCGATCAGCGATGCAGCTACAGCTAGTCTTGCCATGATAAAAGGATATTTGAGATCATTGAAGACTGGGGATACGAAATGTATGGAGAGATATGTTTGTCAAGCAAACAGCGAATGTTCTAAAGACATCGGACAGAGTTCATTGTACTGCCATCTTGGAAGGTAACGTATAGTTAATATTAGATAATTTTTAAAATAATGACGAATTAATTTCAGTTACGCCGTAAGTTATATTTTGGGAACGTCCGTGGGATCCCCTAAATTTGACGTGTTCTACGAAGCCGGACGAAGAGGCAGATTTGGTGACAACTGTCAAGAAAAGTATTTGGAATGCAACGAAGTTTAAACACCAACAAAAAAAAGACAAAGTTTTAGAACTGATCATGTAAAATATGCATAAAACATCCAAACTCGCAACGTGTTTCGGGAAAGAAAGTTTTAAACAAATTCGATCCGCGTAGAACCCTGTTGCTTGTTTGGATTTGATTAATTTTTGTAGAGTAATTTAATTTCTGCCAAAAAGTCAATTAATTAAAACAAAAACTAATCGAATTATCAATTTAAAAAATGTTATTTGCTACGAAATAATATATTAAATCGTGTAAGGTGTAATCACAATCACACTTTAAAATTTAATTTGAAACGAAACAGTAGTTTGAAATTGTTTTTTAAAGTTATTCAAATTATTTATTTTTATAATATTTATTTGTAGCACAAATTCTGACTGGACACTAATGGTATTTTACATCACTTTTATTTATTTTATTTTTTAGATTGTTTATGTTTATTTACACATTAGAATGAGTGGTTTAAGTTAGTGCTTTAAGCACTTCATTCTTTGTGTGAGTAGCTATAAACACCTAATGTTGTGTGCGATTGTCGTATGGCTGCGTCATGTTTGATTGTGAGAATGAATGTTTCTTAGATATTTAGTTTCAATGAAGTTTTCACTTTTACTGTGTTTGTAAAGATAATTCTTTGTTTTAATTGTACTTGCAAATGTAGATTTATTTATTTAATATATATATTATTTATTAAACTATTCTTTTTTATTTTCAAATTAAAAAAACCAGTTTACAGTTTAACAATCCATATTGGTTATAGTAGAGGATTAAGAAATAAAGCGTGATCTCAATAAAATATAAAATGTTATCAAAATAAATTATGATTAAAGAAAGTGAAATGAGAAAGTCAATTTAGACCAGAAAAATTAAATAATGCAGATTTGAAAATTCTGAAAATGAAAAATCCGTAACTTCCCCTACGAAATTATGAAAATTACACCTTCATATTCCCAAAGTCCCAAGTCCGAGGTTCTTGGTTCGATTCCCGGTCTCCAAATTATAATTGCTAAAAATATACAGGGTGCCCCAAAAAAGTGTCTGCACGAATGCAAAACTGAGGCCCCATAGGAAGGGCCTCAGTAAAAAATAATAATAGAGGTTTCTTGCACTGATCTAAAGAATCTATAGTTAATGTACACATTAAAATTACTAGAATAATATTGAAAAAAACGACACTGTTACTGTTTCAAGTAGCAGGTTAAATTTGTAGTTCCTATAAAATAATTTAAAATCAAATAAATATATTTTCTTTATAAAAATTGTTTTATTTACTGCAGTGTTTTACTACTATTAAAGCTCTTATATATAATTGCCTAGCAACAGATCTTTATGTGTAGCATAATCGAATTAGGGGATTTCCCGAAAACAACATAGATTTCCCCCACAGTACAGCTATCAAAAAAAGAATAAATAAAGTTTTATAATAAATAAATTATTCTTAATATCGATTTAGACTGAAGTGTAATTTTTATTTAAAGAAGAGACATGAAAAACAATTGAAAATTTGGAAAAATTCCAATATCTAAAAACGAATAGAGATAAAAAATTTAAACTAGAACTATCGAAAAGAGAATTAAATTTTATACAATATAGAGTATTATTAATATGGATTTAGAATGAAATAAAAATTTTATTTAAGGGAGAGACATAAAAAACAAGTGAAAATTTGTAAAACAACCTATTATGTAAAAATTAATAGAGTATTTGGTATGTAAACTGATAAAGCTCTTGCAATGACCTATGTCTTCAAATAAAAACATCTATTGTGCGAATTCCCGAGGAATTGAAAAGAAATATAAAGATAATTCTAAATGATTTGCAGGTAAGACACGTGGATTTTTTTACTATCACAAACACGACACTTTCTTTTTAAAAATAAACATATTGCTCGTTATTACAAAATTTATTTTCCCATGAAAATAAACTAACGGCTCATTATTATAAAATTCGTTTTCCCATCACCAACTGCAAATACAATACGAACATGTGTTAACCCCTACTAACTCGATTCTTATTTCCAATGAAGAAAATTTTTATTATAAAAAAGTAATCCCAGATTTCAACTTCTGCGCGAAGTAGCTACCTTTCTGAATATTTTAAATGACAAGAAGAGTCGATTGATAGCTCATTTGAAAGGGTTTTTAATTCTCTATTCAACGCTTTAAATATAAGGGAATTAAAAACGGTTTCAAGTGTAGCTCATATTGAATGAAAATGCGCAATAAGATCTCAAACCCCAAATATTCGATCATTACCAGAAATTACTTTCTGTTTTACTTATCAAGCGTTTTAATGTTAATTATTAAAAATAAAGATCCCGTAATAAAACTCGGTTATGTATTTATCAATTTTATTAACAAACGATATATAGGTACTAGAGTATCATTTTAGAAAAATTATTAAATAAAAAAAGTCCACAATCTGTACTCATCAAAAATCACGCTCCAATTACCTAAAAATTTATTACACAGGCAAGTAGCAATAATACAATTTGACAACTTAAAAGTAATATTCAGCACTTAACACTTTTTTAAGTCCTAAATTCCCATTTATTCCTCGTGAATAGTAAACAATTTCGCCACCTCGTTTAGATCATCGTACTTTCTATGGTCTAGAAGTACTTGACGAGCCACGCCCATTCTATTGAAAACGTTCCACAATACTATACCCACTACAACATCGTCCTTTAAATAAAACACCACCCCTTTTCCGAAATCTTCGCCTTCTGATGGATCTAATTGATGCGAAACGTTCGCGAGCTTCTCAGATTTTTCTTTTTCTGTTCCTTCGGGAGACACCTAATAAAAGAAATTAAATAAAAAGTCGAATTGGCTATGACGAGGGCAGAATTCCCATTTTCTCACCCAGCAGCTGCCGCAGTGCGTATTTGTCTGCAATAACGGCTTTTTCGAACCGCGGCAACCCTTAGTGGGCTCAAGTTTTTCTTAGGCAACCCAATGGCATCGTGTAGAAAATAAAATTATCTTTAACTGAAGCTATAATTTATTTGAATAACAGATGGGGGTAATTAGTTACGTAACTTGGCGGAAAACTTGGTAATAGGAGGAAGCAAAATATATTTTTTAGCTCTTTACATGATTTACCTTCAAATTATCTAAATAACAAAAGAGGAAAGTAAAAATAAACTCTACAGGCGGGGGTTGAGCTTTTTAATGTCAGATCTTAGACTAGAAGGGAGACATTTCCAAAATGTTACATCTGGTTATGCTGCTGAGTTTCCGTCAGCCCAAAACAAACATTTGCACGTACTCAGACATACGACAGATGTCATTCTCGTCGTTTATCTTTATCTTCGTCAGTTACAAAATTTAATTCAGAAAACTGCAATCTCTTGGGTCTCTATTCTATCCTTGTTACTGCAAACAATTTCATTGTTAGATTTCTTACGTACCTGTTCATTCGAATCCGACGCAGATGTTTTGGGACTGTCCTTCGCGGTCGCTTTTGCGAAAACCGCGACGGTAGGAAGATTAGCGTCTACAATACCAATCGCTTCGTAACCCACGTCGGGTCCCAAATCGGACCAAAACATGCTTTGATGAAGGTACGGTTTCCTGGCGCCCGTCATATTCTCGCCAGCCAGCCTGCCCGTAACGACGGCATGATCGTGATGTTCGAAACGTCGTCTACCGAGTTTTGTGTCGTAGAAGCATGCGCAATCGCCGGCCTGTTCAAGAAATTAACGAGTTTAGGAAGATGTAATTCCGTTTGTTTAAAACCAATAAGTAACATAATTAATATAAAAGACTTGATAAAGATGAATTACAGTCTGTTTGCTATACTTACGCGGGTTTCGGATTAACAAAATTATGCAAATTAGTCATTGACAACCAGTTCCAATAAGACTCTTCCCAAGAAATTAGGTAAAATTGCCCTAATGGTCAGATTTAAATTAAAATAACATTAGGGTAGGTACTAAATTTATTACAAATATTGCAGTTGAATTGATTCTTTGCAAGTGTTGACATTGTATGTATATTGTAAATTTAGTGGAAATTTTAAAAATGCCTAGACGTGTGTTAGATATAGATAGTCTAATTTGTAGTGTACATAAGTATTTTACGGATGAAAAAGAAAATGGCCGTCCTTTAAAATCGGTATAATGTCTGTAGAACAACACGTATGCGATGCTCTAGGAATTAGTGAAACCAAATTAAGAGGAGTATTACAAAATCACAATAGTGAACTGCCGAAAGAAGATCACCGCAAAACTCGCCCATCATTGAAAACGAAAGATATTCCAGATGGAAAGAAATTTGAAATTCGTGATACCATTTATCGAATGAAGGCCAACAAGGAACATGTGACCTTAAATACAATTCTCTCTGAATTAATAGATAGAAAATTTGACGACATTGGCAGAACAAGTCAGATCTATGGCAAGTGATACATAACTTGGATTTCAAATTTCAAAATCCAGTGACTATCATGATAATATGAACACAGAAATGTTTGTAAAATGGTTGCATGAAAAACTTCTCCCAGGTTTAAGTGAGCCCAGCATAATTATTTTAGACAATGCACCTTACCATTCTGAAGTATTAAACAAAAGTCCAACGAATTCTTGGACTGTTGATAAAATTAAAGAATGGTTGACAAAGGAACATATACCATTTCCTCAATACATATTAAAATCAGAATTATTACGCTTGGCAAATATACACGCAAAACCAAAAACCTTTGTTGTGGATCAGATTATTGAAAGTTACGGTCATCAAGTTTTACGTCTGCCACCGTATCATTGCCTAACGACGCAGTTCGGGAAACTTGGCGAAAAGCACTTTCAATTGCAACTCCAGAAGTGTGGCGGAACTGTATATCCAAGTGCGAGAAACTAATAGAAGATTGGTGGACTCGTGGAAATAAAATAAACAAAATAAGTCCAATCATAATAACAATTAATGGTGATGACAGTGATGATGATGATGACGATTATGATATTTTGGATGATAATGACTGATTTTCATTTTTGTTGGCAAGTTCAATTTTTTTATTTTTCATTTGAAATTCTCTACATGGAACAAATTTGTATGTTAGAAAATATTTTATTTGAGTTAAATAACCCTCTTATTATACATAGACCATATTTTCTGTGTGAAGTGTAACATAAAATTATTATTAGCTTTATAATAGCCACAACAGACTCCATTAATGAAGAAGTTTAATTCTGCTCTCAATTATACAAAAGATTCTCCATTATTATTTAATTAAAAAGTTGTACATTATTTTTCATTTCATATAACCCGTTGATATTTCCCCAAAGAACAGGTCAAACTTTCGGGTACTTACCTGGAAATACTCATAAAATTTTTAATCCGAAACCCGCGTAAGTATAGCGAACAGACTGTAGGACATTAAATGTTAATTTTTTATTAAAAACTTACGATATACACATCTGTCCTGGCTTGTAATTCTGTATTGACTAAATAACCACCTAATTCTGGATCAACTTCCAATCCAGAATCTTTTGCCAGTTCAGTGTTGGGAGTTGATCCAATTGCCACCAAAGCAAAATCGACAAGTAACGATTTTCCGTTGTTTAAAGTTAGTTGTAGTTTATTATCTTTTTCTTTAACTTCTACAACTTCAGTCTCTGAAATAACCTTAAAAAAATACGTCAATCAAATTTTTTTTTAGTATTTCCTACAATTGATGCATCTGGTAAACATAATCTAAACCGTAATTCAAAAACTAGCCTGTAGTAACATAAAAACAAACTTAAATGATTGACTCACTTGAACACCTTCACTTTTTACTTTGTTTGTAGTCCAGGCAGATAAGTACTCTGGGAGTATTTTACCCATGTTACCTGTTTCTTTGAAGATTTGGTATACCTTCTTTTCATTATTTTTATCTAAAATAAAAGAAAATGTCTCCAATTCGGTATACATATTATAAAAGCTTTATTTTCCCATTTGTTAATCATTATGTAGTAGTCTCCTCATATACACAGGGAATTTAAATTTTGTATGTATTACAGGAAGAGTGAAATAAAAAATAATCAAGTATTTCAACAATTCTGGATAACATATAAATTGACGTGATATATAAATAAAAGGAGCAACGTCAATTAAAATTTATGGATTTATAAATAATATGGACATAAATCTTTTAATTCATAATAGGCAGACATTAAATAAATATGGAATATTTAAATCATTACCTGTTCTAGACATGGCGCAAGCCAGTTCACTACCTAAAAATCCTCCTCCTATAATAGCAACATCTGTAGCTTTTTCAAACATGTCATGAGCTTCTTCAAAATCATAAATATCCCTATACATTTTTACACGGTTTGCCGTTTTTATATCAGATTTAGCTGCTTCAAATACGGAAGATAATTTTGGTTTTGCACCTAGAATTAAATATTTTCTCACAGACCCATTCTTGTTAAAAAAAAAAAAAAAATAGATAGATAGATAGTTATAGTACAATAATATTATGCGATTCACTTTTAAGTAAAAATAATCATACTAGTTTACTAAACACAAAGATAATAGCTTCATCAACAATTGTTAATAATACCTGTAGCTATTAGGCATTTGTTAAAATGTATTTGTGTCCCATCATCCAGCATGGCATATTTATTATTTACATCTAGTTTGGTAACTGCCCAGCCCCTAGCAACAGATACCCCACCATTTGAAGCTTTCATTAGTGAACCACAATCTATATAAAAGTCTTCAGGTTCATAAAACAAACTAAAATGATACATAAAGATAAAAAACATATTCACTGAGTAATACTATTCTAAGTGGTAAAATTCAGCATACTCAACATGTAGGTGTTGATTTGGGGGAGTCTTTAAGTTCTTTCAGGGTATGTATGACATACAGAATTATTTCTGTTGCATACACTATAGATGCATGAAAAGCTTTATTTACATTTTAGGATAATGAAAATATTTAGATAGCAATATATTTGGGAAAATTTTGACACTTTTTTTGGAAAACTTTTTTACAAAAAAACTTACCTTCTTTCTGACCCATTCCATTGCTTAAATATATGTTTTTTAACAGATTCCTTGTCATCATTAAACCAAATTTCTTTTGATAATGGTGGTCTCATATATGGGTAGAAGTTTTCATTAGAAATTATGAGCACCTATAAAAATGTACAGAGTGAACCAAAAGTATACTTTTTTTTTTAAAATAGTAATTCTATTCAAAGTAGAACACAACCTCTGTATTCTTAGATGGGATAGAAAAATCCCTTTTACCTGTTATTGTACTCACATCTGCTTGCACTGAGAAAATTTAAATACTGTTGATTGATAAAGTAATTTCAAAGTTATTAAAAAAATATATATTATTATAATCTAATCCTATAGTGCAAATAATTCCAAAACGATCATCATAAAAGTATATGTACACACTCCACTACTTCTGATCAATAAAGATTGTATTCATTAGTAAGATTTTTTAAATAAAATGAAATAACCTTAGCAGTTGGGTCTGCTGACTTAATAGCACGAAATGCAGTAAATGATGCAGTTCCCCCTCCAATCAAAAGGTAAGGCACATCTTTTGGAATTTCTTCAGAATTTTGTGGATGCTTTTGAACAGCTCTCCCTTTTTCTGAAAATATAATTTTATTAAAATTATTCATCATTTTTTTTATATTACATACTTTCATTTACTACATTTTTGACTTCTTTTTTATTAGAGGTTGGGCGCACAAACCAGATCTAAAAATAAAATTAACATTAGCAAAAATAATTATTATCTAAAATATGTTCTTACTGTTCCTAAGGTAAATGCAGTAAATAACATTCCCCATAATAAAGATTTATTTCTACTTTTATTAGAATCATCTTTTTTCTGATCTCTAGAAGCAGTCACCTCATCTATTAAATTTTTGGGAATGGAATCTTTAATAGAAGGTACCTACAATATAATAGGTATATTAAACAAAACTTTAATAATGGCAGTAATAATAATAAAAAGTTTAAAGATTAACAATCAGCAAATATTTTTTTATCTAATATGATGGTACTAGACTGGAAATAAATGCTATTATCACCTACCTTTCCAACCTCGGTGCTTTTTTTGCTATATAATCTTATTGAACTGCAAATACTTGGTTTAGATACTAAAAGTAAAAGGATCTTACATTCGTGAAATATACAATATATTTTGTAATACTTACATATTCCATTAAATATTGATTGACTAGACGTAGACGTTCTTGAGATGTTAAGTTTAACAGAAGTGCCTTGTAAAATTTGTCCAACTCTCAACATTTTGATTTTGACAACAAATAATTCCAAGTTTATTAGAAACAATATTTCTTTTTTAAAGATACTGGTTTAATGAAAACGTAATTAACAATATTATTTAGTAGATATTGAAGAAATAAAAAGACTTTAAGCATAACTTTGAAACTTCAAAATGTGTAGTTCGTTTGTTTCACCACAAACCAAATAATAAGGGAAGCTTACTGATAACAGAAATTTTCATATAATTTTAAATGCACTTCCCACGCCTTTGTTAAGAATCTTCCAGTAATTTTTCTTCATAAAATAACACGAGGAACCGGTGTTCAATTCTCATTCTCATTTCCAAAAAACTTTGGACAGTGATATCCTAAATGACATGTGACTTTGAGTGATAACTGACAGCACTTCAAAAATGTCCAAAGCCAATGATATATAGTTATATGGATTGCTTTTCCACATGTAGAACAGAAGTAAAAGTTGGAAATGCTTTTAACAGTTCTCCCACTTTATACACATAAATTGACAGGTTGGCAGCGAATCTCACCGAAGTGGACGCGATACATTGGCGTACAAAATTATTTTATAGATGTTAATAACAATTTCGAGTAAATAGTTTAATAAATTGTAAATAGCTGTTGAAATTTTGTAAAATTATGATTTGAATATTATAATACATGTTTATAATAATTATTTATAATACATAAATACATGCGATTGTCCGGTTCCGCCGATTACAATTTAAAATTACTTATTCTATGAAACGACACTGGCAAATAAACATTACTGCGAAATTCTCGGAGCCGCCCGACGTGGTTTACCCCCTCTCTACCTACCAAAAGCCTTTCCAACTTTTACTTTCCCTATAAATCAGACGACGTTGTGTTAAACGAAGTTTAAAATGACATTTTTACATTAACAATGTCATTTTAATCTCTGTTTAACACAACGGTGGAATCCACCCTAAGGGCCGAAAATATATAGCTTATAATAGGTCTTTTCCTTTGCATCGAAAGTGTCACTTCTGAAAATATCGTTCCATCCATACAATTTGTATATATGGAACGATATTTTAAGAATTGGTGTAGCCCAGTGCTACACTTTCGATGCAAAGGAAAAGACCTAATATCGAGTCTTGAATAATAATTCGGGTAATTCTTTATTTTATCTAAATATTCGAAAAACGCTGAAATTTTATTTTAAAACACATTTAGACTAGACCGGTTCTGTTCAGTGTGCATAGCGATCTGCAGTATTTACATATGGGTGAGCAACCTATGAAACTATATATCATTGCTCAAACCTCAAACCCATGAAACGAACAGTAAATTGTTGACTATTTTACTTATACTATATAAGACCACCAAACCGAAAAGAAAGAGCAGAAAGTTTTGACATTCAACATTCATCAACAAAAAAATTTAAAATTTAAAACGATAAATAATTACTATAAGTTCAAATTTAAATAATTGATGACTTTTTAAATAATTTAAGATATATTACAGATTATTTCATAGTTTATAAAGTAACCATTACTTCCATCATCGCAAATTTGTAAGAGTTTGGACAGAAACATGACCAGAATCACTAGAAAACTTATAGTTTGGAGGAAAGTGAATTGTTGTTGTTGAATATAATTAAACAAGAATTGTGTTTCATTCTCTGATACAGCAGACAATCATAAGAAGAGATTAAAGTCAGTTATTCAACATCCCAAGAAAGGTATTTTACCAGAACCAAGTATATGTTCTCAATGTTCTGATTACATGTGAAGAGTTAGATTTCACTGGTGCATAACACAAGAGCGATTTTATTAATATTATTTGCATGTTTTCTTGGTCCACAATGATTGTAATTTCTCTAACAACACTCTATTGATACCTGTTTAAATGAAAATAAATGCTTAAAAGTTATAACTAAACTAGGTATGTACTTATGTTGAAAAATGAACTCCCCAAGGAATTCTATCTTGTATTTATCAATTAATACATTTGGGCAAACAAAAAATGGCAGGCTAATTTGTATGAAGCTCACGAATTACTTTGGGCACACTCTTTTACAGTAATGCTAATATAAGTATGGAAGATTCACCGTATACTAATAGTATGGTTTTGGACTCATAACTCTGATAGTATTGAAGCTGAAAGTAATGTTAGATCTATTCCAAAAATGATCAGAAACCAGTCAATTACAATCAGGATTCTGTGCAGTATATTTATTAAAATCACCAATTATTATAGAATATATTAATTCTTTAAAGAATATTTTTAAAGCTCCAGAATTTGGGTTAGGTACATACTTTCCAATTATTGGAAATATTGACCTTATTGACAATACCTCATTATGAAGAAACAGTTTTTGAAATTATTGGACCTTGCATAGTAAGAACTTACAATGAAGAATTGAAAAGAGCACATTCTTCTTGGTTTAGAGAAATGGCACTGACAGCAAAGAAACCTGAGAAAATATCTATCACAAATTATACATTTCAGTTAACCAGATAGACATTTGGTTCTATCAGTTAATGCATTCATTTGGAAAGTGTATATAAAAACAAAAGGATGTGAATAATAGAATAGAAGATAAATGTGAGAACTATTAATTACTTGTACATAGCATCAATCATTTTGAAAAAAAGTGCTAGAACACTTTGGAATGACGAAAAATGGAAGACTAAAGACTTACTACCTAATGACTTTTTATTTCTGTGGGTAAATGATACTTAAATTATGGGGTTTACTTTTTACATCAACCTAAGAAGTGGTCGATGCCTTTAAACATGAAATAAACAAAGTACGACCAGTCGATTGGATAAAATGTTTTAAAAATGCTTTTCATAGATGTAAAAATGCATTAACTGTGGAGGGGAATACTTTTAAAAATTATAAATAAATGTTTTTCTCTCTAAATAAACTGTGTTTTACTTTACTAGGCTCAACAGTTCTCGTATTTAATTAATATAAAAAAGGGTGCTGAAATAATAAAAAATAATACTATAAAGTATAGTCAGTGTCTATACCACTCGTCTACTAATATAATTAAAGCTATCACTACATCGTAAAAGATTTCTTGAACCATAGCTTTGCAATTCTTCTACTAAATACCCATGAAAGAGAAATATGATTGCGAATTTGCCGATGTGTATCCCCTCTGTACTTACAAGGATATCTTTCAAGTAGCGAGTAAAGTCTATCAAAACTACTGGCCTTTCCGATTAACACTTTGACTGCCGCGGTAATTTTCAGGATTACAATCAACTAGCCAATTTTATTTAAATATATTATTAAAAACTATATCGAGGGAGGAGGACATTGCCAATAACAATTCCCTTTAGGCATATTAATATTTAAACGTGCTTCTTTGGTTGCATACCTAGTAGGGTATAGAATTAATTTAGTTAAAGAATTTTGTTCTATTTACATTATTCCAACGTAAATCATCTCTTTGTCCTCATTTAATTAACACAAAACAAGGAAAATGTTTAGACAGAGCAAGAAAATCGAAATGAATTGTACCGATTACTCATCGGGTCGCCTCAAGAATGTAAACAATCTGGAATCCCCATCCTGCATCTGCGCATTTATCAGACTCATCGCATCGTCTCTTCACTTGGATCAACTTCGATTTGCTTTGCTTCTGTCAGACTGCGTAGTGGTCGGGGCGGTGAGTGTTTGTGCAGTGGCGGTCGCGATGCGTGATTTGGCCTCAAAAATGGCTGAATTAAAATTTGAAGCACCCCTAGCCCAATTCGAGGAATCCGACGAATGGGGCTCTACGGAGTTCCAAACGGCTAACTTTAAAAACGAGGAGAACTTGAACAACATAAATAACAAGAAAAAGCAGGACATAAACGACGTCCTAAATGATTTTAATGAGGATATACTCAACAATTCGATACCCAAAAACGTGCCCGCTAAAACCCTGATTTTGAAGAATGGGGAAACGCAATCGGTGGCTGATAATTTTACTGAAACGTTTTCTGGTTCGTTGGAGGATTTAGTGAATACTTTTGATGAAAAAATCACGAAATGTTTCGGGAATTACGAGGAGTCTGTAGAAAAATTGGCACCTGTTCAAGTCAGAACTCAGGAGGAAATAATGAATGAATGCCAGTAAGTTTTAACGAAAATAATATTAAGTTACCTATTCATTATATTTTTTGCGCTTTTTTGTTATGGAAAGTGAGCCTTAACGTAACACCTCCTTTGAAGGGCTTTTCCATTCTCAATTATATCCTGACCTCAATTATAAGAAAATTTAATTAATAATTAATTCAATTTGATAATTGTTAAGACGCCTCAATAAAACATGAAAAAAAAAAAAGAATTATCATTTCAAAACAACTTAAAAAAAACAACGAATACCTAGGTATTAACAGAAATAATAAACAGAAAACGTAAATATCTAATGTGTCCATCATGTAAAGTTATGAATTATATTGAATACGGTCCATCTAATTAAAAAGTGTTTTTGTACCTCGGAGTCAGACTATGTTAAGTCCAAATTGGCCAAATTTTAGGTAAATATGTTAAGTGACTTAAAATTTTTCAGTGCATCGTTTGGTGTTTTCCATTTTGGCGTATCTTTTAAAATAACAAAAATAACTCATTTTTTAATTACGCTAAGCCCACAGTTCACAGTCTAAAATGAATATATTAAAAATATTCTCCTGAAAAAGTTTTTGGACTTACCATACTCTGGCACTGGTGTTTAAATATGAATGAAAAATACACCCCTTTTTATTTGAAACATTTTTCATATCTTTAGTGCCAACGAAAGAATTTTTTTCTCTAATCTTAAACAATATAATTATACATTAAAGTAGAAAAACGCTCTTCTATAAAGTACATCCCCATATGCTCCGACTGTACCCAAAATCTAATCAGCTTACCGCAAGATGGATTATAAAATCTAAAGATTAAAATTTGGTGATTTCCTCTTTATCCGTTTTTGAGTTATCGTGAATGCAGACAATCGCGAAAATGGTCAAATAATTCAGGGGACCCCAAAACAACGTAAAGATCCGTCGAAAACTCGAGGTCGTCAAAATCATGCGATTTCTTACTGGTTACAGGAAAATAAAAACAGGAAAGTAAAAAACAGAAAAAGTATAAAGAACCAATGAAAAAAAAAATTTATCATATTTTTATCTGTAATTAGTTATCGTATAATAATAATAAATAATAATAATAATACTCTTCCTATAATTTACCCGCTTACGAGTGAATTTAAGTCCCTGAAGTCAACTGAGCTTGTGCTAGGAAGGGACTGGCTATTATTATTTGCCGTGGCGCTCCCAGGCGACTTAAAGATGATCGAAACAGTAATGTACCGCAATTTGTAATGATACTATATCAACAGAAATTAAATTACTGTTACCACCGATCAAATCCTACAACAAACCATGCAAATTAATTAAAAATTAACATGATCTGTCCTAGGATTTGAAGCCATATTCGCGGGAAAAGCCGACTTAATAACCTTCGATCCTAGCAAAAACAAGCTGCAAGTTAAATTCAAAATTATTATAAGCGTTTTTGTGTCTCACTCCAAACAACAATATCTATATCCTACTTCCTACCTATTCTTATGCTAAACTTGTTTAAAAATTCGTTCATTTCACTCTACTCAAAGAAATGTTTAAGGAACACGAAGTTACTTCATAAATTACTTTTTAATGTTAATAAAACAAATCGTAAAAACCAATAGTTCAACTTTATTCAATCATCGACAGAAGACTACTTACTTTCCAGGCTGAGAAATCAATCATAATCACTGTCTCTAATATCAAAAACAAATACAGTCCTCATAGCTAAAAATCAAGAACATATTTACACCAAACAAAAGGTTTGTTCGGGTTTCTTTAAAACTTGATGCAAACCGTCCGAGAACCAGGAGAACAGTTGAATTTCAAATTATTCATCGTTTACAATCATTAAACTGTCCACTGGTCAACTAGTCCTCTGATAATTCTTAAGAGTCATCCTCCGCCTGAATGTTTAAGCCAAAAAGAGCGGTTAAGCTCGTTCGCAATTACAACTTTATTTTTCAAAATTACTTAAAACTGCTTCTGCAGATAATGAAAGAAAACGTATTTCTAGGGATATATAAAAACAAAATGATTAATTTTTTTTAAACATTGCTATTATTCAAGATAGAAAAAGATGATAATATTACGTATTTTAAGGCGCTAATAATGTCGTTATAAGAAATAATTTGGAAAATCTAATTCTATGTATCCCTGCTGCAAATCTTTAACTTTGTCCTAAAATGTTCTTTCTTCAAAAAAGTCAGAAAATAAGTTATTAATCGCGCACGGCCTGACCTTCTACAAGTAACATTTTTCTAACCGTAATGTGGCGCCCTTTGCACTGAAATCTATTAACAACAAAACTAATAGATAAACAATCTATTGACCCGCCTTCGTCAAGTGTGAAATTTGCAACGACCCGCATCCCCCTGATAGGGATCGGTTGGAAGATGACTTTAATGTATTTTTGAAGAATCCGAACAGACCTTATATATTTGTACAGGAAACTACTTATATTCTTACAGAGCGTTTTGGTCAATATCTAATTACAATAAAAAAAAAATTGCAAGGATAAATTTCCTACCCACCCCACTGTCAACGGCTAGGTCAAACCTTAGAGTCATTATTTTTTATATCTTTGTTCCAGTGCTCTAAATGCGTAATGGAGCGCGCCATTATTGTTCTTTCAGCTTGAAGAGCCACTCATTATGTTTTAAAATTAACGCATCAGAGTAGGCGGAATCTGAATCTGACCACACATTTTACCATGAGTCAGTGGATTTGTTATTCCGCTGACATAATAATTTTCCTGTTAAGTTCATTAAGCTAAATAAAAATAACTATTTAGATCACGAATTTTACTCATTGTTGCCGCGAATCTCATTTCACAGATAGGAAATGAGATTGTGTTCTACGTATTAATCTTACTTGCCAACTTACTTTAATACAGTTTATAATTATTTTTAAACATTTACCATTTTTGGTTTCTTCTATTTATATTCTTGTAAAAAAACGTTAACAAATGTTCTGATATCGAACAGTTTGACGTCATCAAAATTTATAAACTGTCCTGTGGTAATGAAGCCGTCAAAAATCTAAATTAAAGATACAAGTTATAAAAATAATTTTAAAAAACTGACTTTAAAATCTTGCAGATAATATTAAAAATTGAGTTTGCTGATTTTCTTATATTCGTAGATGCCATCACCAGATCTTGACCTAATTTAGAAAGATGCCTTCTTTCTAACAAAAAAATAATCTCATAGAAATTGGACAAGGTGGTAAAGAATTATCTCTGAACATAGACAAAAAATGAAGAGTTTGATAATTTTATCATGGACTCAACTATTAGATCTTGACCAAATTTATATGAGACCATCCCTTACTAACATTGAAATTGGACAACATGGTAAAAAATTATTACTGAACAAATATTAAAAAAAATCTTCCAACGATTTGAGAACCGCCTCTCTGTTAAAAATCGGGATGTGGAATTTTTTTTATTAATTAAGAAAAATTTATCAGATGGAATTTTGAGAAATGTCAAAGGAACAATATTGAATGTTGAGATAGTTATATAGAAAAGTTGGAAAGATTTTGTATGCTTTGGTTGTTGTTGAGTTGGAATAAAGATAAAAAGAAAAAAAAGATAAAGAAAGGGCGAATCGGATAGCAGAAAGGAGAATTGACCAGAAGAGGATAAGAGTAACAGGAGAAAGTATAGGAAGAAACAGAAAGGAGACCAAGCAGGAAAGAGCAGAGGAGTAAAATAGAAAGAAATTGAAGATTAATTTTTTTACTTTAATTTAATTTTGTTAATTTTTATAGAACGAATCAGCCCTTTTCTTGGGCATAATTTTAATTTTGTTGGATACTGGCGCCCAACGTGGGGCAATACCTTTTTGTATAGATTTTGGAGTATTAATCGGAAAATTAAAAATGATATATTTTTCACGCCGCTTTCTACATGTTAGGTTATGAATAATAAAATAGATTTAAATATTTAACCTCAAAAAAATTGAGATTAAAGTTAATAGCGAATTAGAGCCCTACAAATACAGCCCATTTTAGGTTAAACAACATGAAAATGTATTTTTTATGGATGGATTGAAGACTAAGTCGTAATCTCCTTAGATATACCCGCCCACTATTTAGATAAATATCTATTAATTATTTTACCGTCGGTCGTTATCGAAAATTCTAAGGCTTATATTTATTTTTACTTCTATTTTTAACACCCTTCTGTATAAGTCATAATTGATGTCTTCTAAACATAAAATAACAATTTTGGTAGCGATACGCGTCTACACGGCACGAGTTAAAATCTAATACATAATAAATAAACAGATAGGTACTTCACACGTTATGGGTTTTATGACTTACCACTACTTTCTAAAATATAAATATTCTATAAAATTTAAAGGGAAATAAAAGCAAATATTATCACGATAATAATTTATTATTTTTCATAAAAAGCTATTACAGTCTGTTCGCTATACTTACGCGGGTTTCGGATTAACAAAATTATGCAAATTAGTCATTGACAACCAGTTCCAATAAGCCTCTTCCCAAGAAATTAGGTAAAATTGCCCTAATGGTCAGATTTAAATTAAAATAACATTAGGGTAGGTACTAAATTTGTTACAAATATTGCAGTAGAATTGATTATTTGCAAGTGTTGACAATATATGTATATTGTAAATTTAGTGGAAATTTGAAAAATGCCTGGACGTGTGTTAGATGTAGATAGTCTAATTTGTAGTGTACATAAGTATTTTACGGATGAAAAAGAAAATGGCGGTCCTTTAAAATCGGTAATGTCTGTACAACAACGCGTATGCGATGCTCTAGGAATTAGTGAAACCAAATTAAGAGGAGTATTACAAAATCACAATAGTGAAAGAAGATCACCGCAAAACTCGCCCATCATTGAAAACGAAAGATATTCCAGATGGAAAGAAATTTGAAATTCGTGATACCATTTATCGAATGAGAGCCAACAAGGAACATGTGACCTTAAATACAATTCTCTCGGAATTAATAGATAGAAAATTTGACGATATTCACAGAACAAGTCTATGG